AACAATTAGTATCAAAGTTGAGATATATAATCAACCCAGAAATAGCTGAATGTTGTGTAACATAGCAGGTCTTCGAATCAAACATCAAAAAGCACACAACTGAGAATGAGGACCAAAGCGCCGCATTTTTGGCTGAATCAAGAGATATTGCTTTATCAAGTATCCTTTGGAGGTCCTTTCTTAGCTGCCTCTGCTGCTGCCTTTTCTGCTTCGATCTCAGCCACAATCGCATCAATTTCAGCTTCTTCTAGCTGGCGAAGCTCACTCTGCTCCCGAGTCATTACAGCAACCTCAATGTTCTTTCCTCCACTCTCAACCACCTGCATCGAAAAGCCGATATCAGCTCAAACCATTGGCTCAGGCTAGCCCATGCCTAACAGATATGACCTCAAGGTCCAATTCAATGACGTGAAATCCTGGAAAAACAAAAAACATCAACAATTTTTATTAGCTAGCGAAATGGTAGGAGAGGCCAACCTCAAGCAGAGCACGGATAGCGAGTTTAATAGTTTCTTGGCCAGGAGCTTCTTTGTAGTTCTTCTCCAGAAATTCCCTTATCGAGTTGGAGTTTCTCCCTGTTGCATTAGCTTTCCAAGCAGAGAAAGTGCCAGAAGGGTCAGTCTGATATAGGAATGGGTTACGAGAGTAAGGGTCAAAGCCGACGATAAGAGTAGAAAGACCAAAGGGTCTGACACCACCACTTTGGGTATACTTCTGTTGAAGCCCTGCTATGTACCGCGTGATGTACTCAACAGTAACTGGGTCCTCTAGTGTAAGCCTGTGGCTTTGACACTCGATCCTTGCTTTGTTAATCAACACACGAGCATCTGCCTTGAGCCCCGCGCACGCCAAGGCAATGTGATTATCCAGGCTCACAATTTTTCTGGCTGATCTGTCAGAAACATACAAAAACAAGCACATGAAATTGAGAAGAGACATGAGCATGATCTTCCAACAGTACTAGACAATGATTCAAGCTCAACAAAATTCATATGATTCTTTTTTCAGGGAAAGACCAAGCAAAATATGCTAGAAAAGAAGCAAAAAGAGTATCTGAGACATTCGCAAAAGGAAAGTCGAATCAGAAACAAAATTCGTTTTGTACACTCGCAGGAGGAAGACCTAAACTAGGGTTTCAGCTGCCGATTCCACTAAAGACTAGGAGATTTTCTCAGTTAAGAAGTTATGCATCGAGGGACCAAACGAAGAATTCA